ATTGTACAGACTTACCTTCACATCATTATATAGTATTTTATTTTATATCTGAATAATAGCATAAGTGGATTGTGGAAATATTACAATGAACAGACATTACTGAAGAATTCAAAATATTTACGGAGTTCCTTTCCTTCGAAATATGTTTTTATCGATGACAGGGAACAATTTTCTACTCTCTTAGTGGTTATTTTTTCACCTTATGCTAGGGTTTCATAGAATTGCCTTTATCCTATTTTAGACAAATGTTTTAAAGATCCTTTCCTATATACAAGTGTTATAAAGATTTCAGATTAAACTAAGGAGCTCATTCTGTTCTGATTCTTCGATCTTATGATAACTGATAATAAAATATTGAAAAAAAATAATAATTATTTAATATTAATTTTCGATAGTTAAAGTGTGTTGGAACTTTGACAAGGTTGTTTTTTTATTTTTTTTATTTTTTAACTAAATATTTACGTTTTCTTAATTTCAACTTTATTTTTTATTATTAAAAATAATAATAATATATAAATTAATCAAGTCTACTTTTCAAATCTTTTTCATTTTAAATTTAAGTTGAACTTTAGCATTAAGCTCTAGATTGATAATGATGATCTTATATAAATGTTGCTAGATTTTTAAGAATAATCCTTAAACTCTAAACTTATTAAAATATCAAATTTCTAAGACTAATATGTATTTCTCAATATAATACCGATTTAATTTAATTCATTTCTTTTGTGAAATAAATCTTGCTTCAAATAAATTTTAAATGCTATCATCCTTCGAGAAATAGAAATTTTATTGTCTTAAAATTATATATCCTTATTTATCATAATAAAAAAATTAAGAAATTCTTGCTATAAGTCTCCCATCAAATGTATATAAAAATACATTTTAAAGAAAGTATTCATACCCACCAAGTATGCAATAGAACCAAAAATGAATTAATTAAAAGACAAATCTTCACAAATTGCCTATAAATTCAACATCTCTCTTTAAATGAAATCATATTTCTCATAGTTTTAGTTCTTAAATTATCATTTAATTTTAAACATCAGAAAAATTTTATAGTTTCATCAAATTTATTATATGATCCAAGCTCCGATAATATTTATACTTAATTTTTATTGCTGGATTAACTATCCTAATTATCTCATCTAATATTCTTGTTTTTCTGGCCGCATACCTCTATCATTTAAGATTTTGATCCATTTCAGTTTGTAAATAATCAATCTGATTTTTGTGATTTTTTCGAAGTAATTCTCTTTTAAACCTTAGATTGATTATTTACTCTTTCAATACTCCATTTTATAATACTCTATTTAATTTTCTTAGATGATAGTTATTTTAACCTTTTGATTGAATAAATTTTGAAAATATGTCCATTTGAGTATTTTTGAAGCTCTACTTTCTTTGATGTTGGAAAAAGAGAATAATAATCAGTTGATCGTATTTGATTAGGATAAATAAATAATATAATGTATTTTGTAAATTAATTCAGAATAATAATGGATTTTTAAATATAAATAAATAAATAATATGTCTTCTGTTTTATTGTTCTTTTGGGCATAGTTTCTATTAACTACTACATAGAAATTTGTCATAAGTAAATATATCAATGTTAATTACTAATTATATTTAGGTATAATTATTTATATATGAAAGAATAAAATAATTAAATTAATAAGGACTCCCAACATTTTCAATTTTTTAGGTTAATCAAACTTATAATTTATGTGTAAAACAAATTTAAATTGATTGCATTTAATTCTAAAGTGACTTTATCTGTTTCATAGTTCTTAATTAATTATACCTACATGAAGTTGACCAAAGTCTAACTCTTCAGGTTAGATGCTAAACTAGTTTAAACTTAGCATATTTACACACTTTACACAATATGAAGAATAGAATACATCATAATGCTTATTATAATAATAGAATTTCAATTTCTTCATCATTTTAGTTATCATTAAAGCTGAATTTCTTTAACTTAGAAATATCAATACATAACTAAATGTTACTGTGTTTGATTTCAGACTAAAAATTAATAAAGTCTTTATATTTCTTATTGAAGCATCTCTGCCCCAATATCACTAATTCTCCTCTATAAAATTAAAAAATTCCAAGTATTTTACGTATCCAAATTAGCATGGAGCTCATAATTTCAAAGACCCAAAAATTGCATTTGATAATTCTGCATTGTAAATTTATTCGTTATTTGACTTATCAACAATTTTTAAGATATATAAGAGTACTTAAGCCTGCGTAATATCACTTCTTAATAATTAATAATTTTCAGCAAATGTCTAAATATAGCTTAGTTGTAAAGAATTGCTCATAAATTAGTGTCTTTTAATAGAGAATTCATAGATTAGATTTAATCATTTGGTTCAATAGTAGGTTCAGATTTAATGGAGATGAAAAAATAGAAACTTCTACTACAGGTTGTTTCAAATAATCTATTGATATTTACTACATTAACAACGATCCTTACCCTGAGTCAATGCTTCCTCCAAATAAATGAAAACTAAAAAATCCTTTAGATCAGAATAATCAATCATAAACTTTCATATTCTGTCCATGTTTTTTTCTATAATTACCCTTGCTTATAAATAAAGTCATTTTACAGTAATTTTGATCCATTACATCAATGAACAATAAAATCAATAGAATGTAATAATTATTTTAATTTAGTATTTATAATTTTAATTGATGGAATTTAGGGTGAAAGTCAATTAATAAAGACCTTGAAATGAGTTTTTCAAATGTTTTTCATAGGCTAATTTTTAGAACAATCCATCAAATTCAGTTTGTACTTTTCAACCTTAAACTATTAATTTATATTTCCATTTCTATCCAAAATAATTTACAGCTTGTATACCTAACTTGTACTCCAGCTTAAAAAAATGAACTGATATAATTTCTCTTATTAATAAAAGAAACATTTAATTAAAGATATCATTAATATAAGGAATATTTTTATTTATTATTTAGGTTTTGTGTTTATTCATTCCATATAATAATAATAAATTTCTATCTTGAGAAAAATACTAGTTCAAAAACTATTTGGATGTGAAAGCTGAAAAGAAATTGGATTAAAATATTTGACTGTTTATCTTTTTGATATTATAATTTGATATAAAATAAAACCAAATATTTAATCCTTTTCTTTGAAATCAAATTGCTTTTATTAAACAAAGATAGTGGATTGTAAATTCTATTTATTTTATTACTGTAATTAATCTAAATAGATAATTTAAACATATTATCAGTATTATCTTATTATAGGATTTATCAGGAGCAGACTTTTTAATAATTATGTCATTTATACAAGAATAATATCATTTCCTATTTCAATGATCCTATTATTTTTAATTTTCTCGCATTTGTTGATGTTTATAGTTTTTAAATATTTAATTTTATTCTCAGTAATTGTATCTCTAAACTTCTCTCTTGTAATATATTCTTGTGCAATACTTAAATTTAACTCATCTATATCGTATTCTTAATTAATATTGTATATAACCACTCCAAAATTTATTTTATTTTTCTTTTAGCTAGATATGTTATAAGTCTTAGACAGATGGTGAAGAAAATTAAAACCGTAAAATTAGATGAAAAGAAAATTAATGAAGGATACAGAATGGAGAAGTAAAAGGCTCTTTTCAATTAAAATTCACAGAATTAAATAGGAGTGAATAAACAACAATCTCATTCAATAAAGGTTATTAAAATTCAAAGTTAACTATTTGATTTCACACTTTTTGGCTTGAAATATATTTTAAAGGAAGCTACCAATAATTATTTCAAGCAAACCTGTTAATAATATAGCTTTGCCAGTAATAAACCAACCTTTCAAGTTTTAACTGTAATTTGATGTTTTTTATTTATCATAGTTATTACAATGTCTCCCACAAAACCATAATCTATTTGCATTATTAATTTTTATTTTATTAAAGTAGATTCTAGCAATTATTTTATTTGAGATTTTATAATTTCTTATCAATCATCTAAAGGTTATTGAGACATAAGTGTGATAATTCATCATCCATTTCTATGGAAATTATACAAATGTTATAATTATTTATTTTCGATATTTATTATTAGGAATCTTAAATTTAAAGAAATTAATGTAAAAAAATGAATTTTGAAAATTTGTTAATTTCATTGCTGTCAAAGGTATTTAAAAATTATGGTAGTACTCTTCTGAGTTTAGTTAATTCATAAATGGAAATCAAATTTGAACTCCATTACTCTGTTAGGTTTAATCGTAGAGAATTACATCAAATGCTTCTTGAATGATCATTCAAACTATCCTTTTACTAAAATTATTCATTGAAGGATAATAAAATTTCCAAATTGTAAATTTGACATAATTAATGGTGTCAACAATTATAATAAAATTTCCGAACACTTTGTTAGTTAAAATTGGAACTTTTTTATCAAGAAATCTATTTTTTACTA